GTAGATCTTAGGGCACTGGATTACACTAGTTAATTTGCCTAAAAACCTACTGCGGCGTTGGATCATTTTAGTCTCCGTATTAGCAAACTTGCCACATGAAACACTCGGAAATGCACGAAGAATGTAAATAATTCGAAAATCGGTTTGGATGCATCGAAGGAAACTTCCAATGAACGATCAACAATTTTTGGCTATATGGAAACAAAAATAATTATTTAAAGTAGTATCAAGTTAATCGGAAATGACTATTTTTATGAAAAGCGAAAATGCGGAAGTCCAACTATCCGCGGCAAATGAGGGAAATTAATTTTATGCGTATATAAAAACCGGCCCATACAAACAACTAAGAAGGTAGAACAGCGTGCGCAATCAAATTAAAAAAATTTTGGTACTCTTTAAGTTAAGGTCCTCTAAAAATTAATGCAATATTCAGTACGGCAACTAATTAACATCGGGATGCCCAGGAATGATGAAATAAAATTTGATGTGACCTTTTCTATTTGGTCGAAATCCTGAAAGGTCTTTTCGATTAGAAAGGATTAGCTAAGAAGGATTGTAATATTAAATATCATGTGGCATAATCCTATGGTATGTCGGACTTGCCATGTGGTGTAAGCTTTTGAAAGCACTTCTTTCCGGTCTCCCATAGCAACCGCACTCAGTAAAAAGGACGACGTCGATAGTATGTAATATCCACATTGAATTTTGATGCTTTTATAGATTTAAACATATTATTTAGAAGACATACATAAGTGTGCTTTTTTACTCATTTAGTAGGAATTCCGGCCGTTTTTATATTTTATATTCGAAGAAACGTTTCTTTAATTATCGTATAATTTTGAGTTAAATCAGCAGTCGCCCTGGCCTTTAGCACCTTCAATCTACAACGTGTTTACCATCGGCATAGAAAAAGCCCTGTATTCCTCCATACCCTTCAGCAGATACCGCGTATAACTCATAAAAATTTGTAGTGGTTGTGAGCTATGTCGTATACTTCCCTAAAAGAGTTAATAAACGGACGGTACGAAGCTGCATGAGTAACATTGAAAATCTCGCAATCATGAACTTTTCTAAAACCAAAAGATACCTTTCAGTCGACTATAAAATAAAAAGACGGCCTGAATTCCTACTAAATGAGTAAAAAGCACACTTATGTATGTCGTCTACATGATATGTTTGAATCTATAAAAGCATCCAAATTCAATGTGGAAATTACATACTACCTAAGTCGTCCTTTTTACTGAGTGCGGTTGCTATGGGAGGCCGGAAAGAAGTCCTTTTAAAAGCTAACACCGGGGCAAGTGTGACATACCATAGGATTATGCTGCATGATATTTAGTATTACGATCCTGTCTAGGTAATCCTTTCTAATTAAAAAGATATTTTAGGATTCCGGCCAACATCTCATAAGATATGTCACTTGCTGTTTGTTTAGAATCCGAGTGACTATAACTAATAGGTTTCGCATTGCTTTGCGCGGAGCAACCTTGCGGGAATAAAGTCTCCACAAACTCACGTGCCGAACGACTCCTCAGTGCCTAAGGCATTATGACTCGAATCACCATTTATAAGTATACCATTGTCTGTGAAACAAGAAATTTTCCCTTAAAAGTCTTGCAGTCTCAGGGACATTTTGAAGTACCAATGGATGCTTTGGGGGCTCAGTGCTCTTAATTTGTTACCCGAAATGAAAGGTTACATAGTTTGTATTTATTAAAGCCTTCGAAAGGAGACGGTTCTTAGAGGTGTTCCTTTTAATGCAGATGGATTTGGCTGTTTATGTGCTGACGCAGTCAAACAAAAAACCTTCTCGCAAGAGCAGACAGATGTTCACGACAAGGCGCGTTCCTGGACAAGTGAAAAACCTCCAATAATTTTCCTCTTTAAAAAGCGCTCAAATGGAATGCTTTATTGAGGAACGTCTACGTATTCCGTCTTTTTTGAAGTAAAATCAAGGAAGGAATTGAACATTTGGTCTGGTTATGCATTTATCCAAGACAAATGCAGATGCGTTTTTGTCTCAGACACACCATGATTTTATTAAAAGTCCTACTAAAACGTTGGCTTGTCAATCCAGCTGGTCAACAATCAGAGGTGTGTGTAAATAGGTAGTGGTGTCATGCGCAATCCTCGGCTTTTTATTTCACGTCGGATGAATGTGCTATGCCTTATAACATTTGCTTCTAATGGTACCGTTTTTTCGTTCATATTAAATGAATTTTTACTTTCCTAATTATCGCAACTTTCGGGCCTTATATTAAGCAGACCAACTTGTGTGAAAACGGGAAGCATCTCAATTACGGACTTTTTTTTTATCATGGTTACATTTGTTTATCTAGATGAGTTCTTTTTAGTGTTATTCTAAAATTTTCGCAATAAAATGCTTGTTCAAAAAAGGTTCCAGAGTTGTTTTGATAAAACTGTAATATTCAATCAAATTTTCACTTTTTCAGAGCCAAGGTTTTTGTTTACCTTTCTGACATATTACTGATATCCGTCTGGTTAGTAGTGAAGTTCATTTTGCCGCTGGACCATTTGTAGGCCTCCGGAGGTTTTCTGGGTTATTAAGTGGTATCCGAAGGCGGAAAGACCGCTTGAAACACCAGGCTGGAAAAAACTGTCCAACCCAGGTTTAATTTAGTCACAAAGGTGCAAGTATCATTGTCTCTTGATATAGTAACATCTAGATAAATATTCTCAATTGAATTAATAGACCTGTCTAGCAAAATTTGCTTACTTTTGAAGAAGATGGTCAAATATATAGGATGAATTGTGCCAAAGCGCGGTGCAGAGTAAATATTTATGCGAAACCACTTCTCAAAACTGCAGATATTTTTTACGCTGTTCAGGACTCAAAACATTAGTAGCCGATAGACGTCCAAAGGCCTCAAGGTTTTTCAGGCGTAGGCTTCTCTCTTTGAGAAAATAGGTATCCTCTGAGTACTCAGTAATAGCGTCCGTTTCACAAGAGGCGTCTCAGGGTCTTTGTTTCCATACCCATAATTTTGTGTCCCGAATTTGACACACTGAAGGTCAGAAGTCAAGGCAAGGTGTTACAGTATCCGTTTTTTCTCTGTGCGGCGTCAGAGTTTTTAAAACTCAGAGCAAAAAACTGGAGTGAAATCTTGTTAAAAATGCCTTTGCTGGAGTAGTTGTCACTGCGACAAACGTAATTGACATATTCCTCAGTCATGAACATTCTTTCGTGGTCCTATTGAGGTTTCACAGAAGCATTATTTGTCTGTTTTATGAAGTACATATTAGTAAACATATTTATCAAAAACAAAATGTGGCTACCCCAGAAATGGTTTCTGTATTACCAGTCTACATGCGAACTCCTGAAATCATCAGCGATATTTCAGTCAGCAATTATAGTATATGCGATAAGGGGGTGTCTTTTTTCAAGAGGAAGAAAACTATAACTTCCATCATTACCTCAAAATCCGGATCGACCTAATTAATTTGCAAACATTTAGAAAAAGCAGAAAACCATTCGCAGTAGTGAGATAAATTTCTTGTAGTAAAGTTTACTTTTCCGACAACTCCACACCAGAGTCTCTTCTTTTATTTTAACTAGACAGACGTCGACTACATCTTGGCTGTTAGCAAGAAATAGCAAAATTGTTTTGGATGCGCTGGTATGGAACTGTCGCATGACCAATATTTTCTTTGTGGCTTTTATCTCTGAGTATTGAGAAATATAATGTTCTTATGACGCACATTTGGCCAATGCAGGTAGTACGTCGAAAAAGACCGCCACTCTAAGTGTCAGCGCTAACAGATTTTTACAAAAGTATTCGGCAAGGGTAGGGTATGTAAC